GGAGATATAAATATGAAACATGGGCCATACTTTGAGCTCAAACATTCCTTGGAAAATGAGGGTGAAGAGAAAGGGGGTAGAGAATGGAGAAGTGGGATACAGGCATTAAAAACATCTTAGTCTTCCCTAAAATCTTTGGCTGGATTTCAGTGTGGTGGTGAACATGCAGTGCTATATAAAGAAATATTCCTCCCTTAAATCCTGTGGGATCTGGGGGCACTTATGAATTAATTTGTTTCCAGGAGTTCCATCAGAAGAGAAATCATTTGTAAAACTGCAGGTGTTAAAATACAGACCAACAAAAAAAACCCCAAACCCTTCTTGGGCTGGGAAATCAGACACAGTTATGAGTTGAATGTTGAAATTAAAATGCAGAGAAGGCCCCTGAAAAACCTCTCAGTTATTATTCTAAGATTTCAGGGCAACACTTTGCCCAGGCTTTTCCTGCTTTCTTTCCTTAAAGAATAAATAAGATGGTTGTGATTTCATGGAGATATCCATACAGTTCTGCTTCCAGGGACACCAGGGCTCGTTCCTTAAACATAAATAAATAAATCCCAGTGACTGGGAGGACAGGGAATAGTGCAGGCCCAGAGCAGCCCCCAAAACCAGGCAGAAACCGCTGGAAACGTGGTATAAAACCGTGCACTTGGTGCTGGATAATTATCATTCAGCTCAAAGGATGGACAAAATACTCCTGAATGGGAACTGCCATAAGATCAGCCAATTAATGCAATTTTTCTGTTACATTGGATTGCCCTTTTTCTGCTCTCTGAAAGCAGAAAATAAACTGGATGTATGTGAAGAGATGCATTTTTTTTCTTCCCTTTGGCTGCGTCATCGTGGATTGATACGTCCGCAAATTCCCTGCGTTGTGAGCTTGGAAATGTTTCTAGAGGAATTCTGGAGGAGAAGAACATTTCCTCAAAAGATCTGGGGCATTTCCTCTCTTTCAAAAGGGTGTAAAATATCCCTCTTTTTATCTCCCAAACAACGATGGGGGGGGGGGGGGGGGGAGCATTCCCGAGCCTCCCCGAGCTGACAGTCGACAGGGAATTCTGTGTTCCCTTTCCAAGTGTGTCACTGCCGCTCCAGGATTTCGGGAGGTCACCCAGAATTCCTCTCTGTGTGCGACTCTGTCACCTCCCCAGGGCTCCGGGGGGAGGGAATTCCCGCCGCAAAGCGTGTTTTGGGATGTTTGGGTGGAGCGCAGAGCGTTTCCCTTCACGCAGGAACATTTTGAAAGGTCCAAATAGTCCTTTTTTGGTGTTTTGGGTTTTTTTTTTTTTTCCCTTATTGAGGTGTTTTGATTTTGCTGATGCGTCCCCTGGAAGGCTGAGGGGCGTGCGAGCGGTCAGTGGATGGTTGTTTCAAGGAGTGGGGGATTCAGGGAGGACCTGGGCGAAATGGGAGTAAATCTCATTTACCTCTGGCAGCGCTTGCTTGACTACAAAGAAAGTTTATATTTAGTAAACTCACTCGCCCTGACCTACTTTGTGGGGAGTGGTGATTTTCTCAGCGTGGCTCGGGGTTTGCTGTTCCCCCTGCTCTGTGACTGGAGGATCCCTCCCGGCTCTCCTCCTGCTCTTCCTGTTGGTGGTTAACTTAGTCCCTGGAATCCCTTCCCAAAATCTTTACAAATAATGAAAATATATATATTTATGTAGTTTAGACTTAAATATTAATATATATAGGGGCAAGTGTCTCCAAAAACTGCCCCTCCCCAGCAAACCATTAAATAGTAAAACTAGTGATTAATTCAGGGTTTAACTTAAAATATCTTCTTGTTTTCCTCTGGTGGGAAACTCAGCTATATTGGTGCCAATAAATGGTAAATACCAGCTAAAAAAGCAGGATGAAATTCCTTCTCGGGACAGTCTTGGAGAAGCCTCATCTGTCAGGAGAGCTCATTAGTTCTTGCTCGCTCGTCTCTGACAAAAACAGCACAGCGCAGACCTGCTTTATTTATTTCTCACTTAAAACTATTAATTTCAAAGAAATATTGAGGCTGCCGTTTCTGCATTATTGTGGAACACAAAAAAAAAAAAAAAAAAAAAAAAATATGTGGTGGTTTTTTTTTTCCCCTTCACGATTCTTTCCCAGTGGTGGCCTTTGCAGCTGAGCTGAATCACCGTCTGAAATCAGGGAACTCAGCCTTGCTGGGGGTGGTTTGTGCAGGGATCCTTCCTGCTTTTCCACACCTCGGGTTGTTGGGAGAGAGAAAACCTGGAAAACAGAGACAGGTAGTGTTTCAAATCTCCTGCTCCTTTACCTTTGCCCCTAAGGAAGCAAAATGAGGAGCCCCTCTCAGAAATCTGGGATGTTTTCTGCATGCATTTATCTTGATGTGACTGAGGGTTTTGGGTTTTTTTCCCTCAAAAACAAGGAAAAAAAAAAAAACACCTCCCAGGGGCAACAACTGCTGGAGCTGGTTTAAAGACTTAGCACCCACAAGCATCGAAAGTAATGTCCAAAAACAGTTTATTGTCTTTATTTATTGATGGTTTTTGGGCGTTTGGATAATCACTGTCACGTGTTCGGATTGTTGGAGTTATATGGAATATCTGGGAAGTTTCCTGTCTCAGGAGGGGCTGAGTTACTGTATCTGAATAAATGCTTTTGTCCCCAGTCCAGGAAGGGATTTGGGAAAAAAAACGAGAAAAGGAATCAAAACAGATTCTTCCATTTGAGCAGAGACATATGTTTGGTGGGCTGGCACCAGACTGGGAAGCAGAATCCTGGAGAACCAACTCCTGGGGCTCTGGGATATTTAGGGGATCAACACCCAGAATGAGGTGCTGGAGAATATAAGGGGGGTCATTGGGTCTGTCCATGAGATCTGGAGCACGTGGAGCTGCTCCTGGGGATGGAGCAGGAGCTCAGCAGGGTGTGAGCAATCCAGGGAGCTCCTGGAATGTGCTGGGGATGATTTCCTTCTCCAGGGAGAGGGGCTGTGCTGGACCTGGGGGGGTGGGGGGGGTGGGAAGGGGCTCAAGGGCTGCAGTGGCTGTGAAAAAGAAAAGGCTCCAGGGAGACCTGAGAGCCTCTTCCAGGGCATGAAGGGGCTCCAGGAGAGCTGGAGAGGGACTGGGGACAAGGCATGGAGGGGCAGGACACAGGGAATGGCTTTCCATGGCTGTCCCAAGATGGGATATTGGGAAGGAATTGCTGGCTGGGAGGGTGGGCAGGCCCTGGCACAGGTTGGGCAGAGAAACTGTGGCTGCCCCTGGATCCCTGGAAGTGTCCCAGGCCAGGTTGGAGCAGCCTGGGCCAGTGGAAGGTGTCCCTGCCCATGGCAGGGGGTGGAATGGGATGATCTTTAAGGTCCCTTCCAACCCAAACCAGCCTGGGATTCCACGTAGTTGTGTCTTTTTTTTTGCTTCCCTGTCAAATGGCACTGAGGAATCTCTGAATAAGGGGATGTGTTTTTAAACAACAAACATTTCAGTTTCATCGGTAAATTCCCATTAATTGAAGATGAGATCACAGTGACTCCTCCTGGTTGTTGGGATGATGGTCAGGAAATCACATGAAGCAAAAATTAATGGAACACTTGGGTGCCATTGAGCAAAAGCGCCAGGTCCCATAAAATTCCGAAGATTCCCTTGAAACAGAAGGGACTTCTTCCCAGAGCCCTTTGAGGGAGGCTGAGAGGTTTTGAGAACAAAATTAATGACACCCTTACAATTATTGCAGTTGTCGTTGTGTGAGAGAGCAGTGATTAAACCCCATCACAAACAACATCTGCAGCGGGAGCAGAGTTGAAATATCTGCATTTCTGGTCGTGCGGTTCACAGAAGGAAAGAAAACGTCATCTACTGACACAAAAGGCAACGTGAGAATGATTTACTTGCCAGGCAAAAAAAAAAAGGAAAAGAAAATTGAGATGTTTTCAGTGGCACTTAAAAAATCTGGGGAGAATTGGGTCTGATTCAGCTTGTTGAGGAAACAGAATTTTAGGTTTGAAGGGCAGTTGGTGGAAAACCTCAGCACTGCATGGCATGTGCAAAGGTGCTTTTAAGGAAGACAAGTCACAGATTTGAACCACCTTGGAGACCCTTGAACGTGTTGAGGAAGAGCTGTTTGCAAAGGCACCATGAAATGTTTCGTTCCTTCCCCTGTGATTGCTCCATGGGGTGTTTTCCCTTTAGAAAGACTTTTTTTTTTTTTTTTTTTCACTCCAGTTCTCGCTGCATCCTCAGTTGAAGCTTCTGTGCTGAACTTATTAAAGAAATCTGGGGTTGGCTCTCACAGAACTCTCTGGGTTGGGAAAGCCCTCCAGGATCACGGATGGCCACCTGGTCACCAGCCCAGAGCACTGAGGGCCACGTCCAGTCGTGGCTTGGACTTTTAATTCACCAACTTCTGCCTTAGATGGGGTTGTTCAGTGATCTCCATCACCAGCAGAACTTGCTGTTCCCCTCCTACCTCACAGAGACTTCCGTGAATTCCAGCTGCTCCAGGAGCCTTCCACTATTAGAAACTCTTTATTCTGTTCCTCTCCTGCCCCTCAACCCCGTCTTGGACCTCATCTGAAAATTCCTCATCACTTCCAGCTGCTCCACAGCAGCTTCCTGGTGCTTTCATTGGGTCCTTTCGGAGCTGGAATTTCCCCCCCTGCTAATCCATCAGCTCCCAGCTTGGCAGACCCCGGGGTGCAGTGGACATCCAGTGTCTGCTCTGGGTTCATTGTTTGGGTATAATAACAGTGAAATCCTCCAGTTTGGTGTATTTATTAAATACACTAATACAGAGTTATTATTATGGGCCTCCAAGAGTTAAAAACCTTCCTGTGCTGTGGCTCTGGTGCTTGGCTGTTTATTTTTAACAGCAGCTCCTCAATTCACGTCCTGCTTGAAATGCGCTGTTTTACTTTGTGCCTTTTTTTAATAAATAAATAAATGAATGAATGAAATAAGTCAATAAATATTTTAAACCCCGGTCTAGTGGCATTTAAACCTGGTTTAAGTCCTGCTTTTGGTGTGTCCCTCTCCAGATCCTCGTTGGCGATGGTGGTCGCTGGGGGCATCAGTATTGAAGATTATCTCATTTACAGACAAGATCTTTGAAATCTGATCCCTTCAGGCAGCAAAGGTAAGGAAAATAATCGAGGTTGCACCTTTTCCTAGAAGTAAAAAGTTAGTTTTTGGCCTCAAAAATAACCAGACTCAAACAGCAGCTGAAGGTCGGGGGCCTGGCTCCTCACTGCCAACGTTTAACCTCGTTTTTAATAAGTTTATTTATTCTGCTAATGTGAAAAATAAGCTGCATGGAGGGAGCTCAGTTTCTTTTCCATACAAAAATATGAGTCATTAACTTCTTTTTTTTTTTTTTTTCCCCCCAGCATTTAATGGTTTTTCCTTATTCTTCCTTTCTCACGAGATTTTTTTGACCTGCAGATGAGTTGTGATATCCGTATGTGTGTGTGATAACAGGCCCAACACCACCTGGTGTGGTCAAACCCGGAGAGCAGCCCAGGAAAAGGCCAAGAATTAGGTGGAAAAGAAATGAAAAGTAAAATAGGGGGTCAAAATCCTGAAAATTCCTGCAGAATTTGAGGCAAATTGAGTGTTAAATGAAAAATGAAGGCACGAATCTGATGCTTCTCATGCTGCTTGTGGAAGCTTTATCATATATACCTTTATAATACATCTATTATAACCTTATATATATATATAAGGTTATAATATATGTATATATTATATATATAACCTTTATTTTGCTTGTCCTGCAAGTCTTACTAATATATATGTATCTTTATAGTATATATGTAATAACATAGAATCTTTATTTTGCTTGTCCTGCAGATCTTTCTAATATATATCTTTATAATACATATTTAATACATACATTTAATACATACATATAATCTTTATTTTGCTCCTTCTGCAGATGTTTGTAATATATATCTTTGTTACACATACATAATACATATATATAATCTTTATTTTGCTTGTTCTGCAGATCTTTGTGCTCTATGCCTTTATAACACGTATATAATATATATATTCTTTATTTTTCAAGCAACATGACTGGAGGATTCTCAGAAGTGCTTTGTTAGCCCAGACAAATTAAGTGTCTCGTTCATGTAGTGTTTATAAATGAAAGGGAAAAAAAAAAAATCAAGGCAGTTCTCTTGACATTTCCTTTTCTCTTTGTTTTGGGGAGTTTTTTTGACCCCCCAGAAGGCAGATTTTTACATTTGAGAGACAAACAGGGCGAGGTTATTTCTCCTTCTGCCACACTGAGGGGTTTGGGTTTGTTTTGTTGTTCCAGTTTCCTTCCGAGGACAGACCTTCCCATATGTTTTTATTTGTTCTTCCAGCTGGGGAGGAACGAGCAGACACTGTTTCTGTCCCCTTGGATCTATTTTTTGGTCTTTAGTCCATCAGTGTGTTTGCAGTCTGGTCCTTCCAAACCTGGGTGACCCTGGTTCACCCACCTGGCCCTTGTGCTTGATCTTCAATTCCAAGATAACATCCCATTTGACTCCTTGACTTAAATAAATAGCATTTAATCAGTGATCTCCTGTCTTCAACTGTTCGGTTTGTGGTTCCAGATCTTCTGGACTGCAAAATGTTCGGGCCTCGCTCTGCAGATGGAATCAAGAATTCGCCTTTTTTGCTCCGTTGTACCTTTCAGCAGCAGCTTTTGTGGAATCAGGGAATGGTTTGGGTTGGAAAGGGCCTTAAAGATCATCCAGTTCCATCTCAGGGGCAGGGACACCTCCCACCAGCCCAGGGTGCTCCAAGCTGGCCTTGGACACTTCCAGGGATCCAGGGGCAGCCACAGCTCCTCTGGGAAAGGCAGACAAGGAGCAGGGCCTGTTCCATCATTTTCCCATCTCCAGACCGGATCCTCAGACTATTTTTCCTGAATTATCATCAAACCCAAGGAGCCCAATTGCCTTTTGTGATGTTTTCCTGAGAACAGTCAATTTTTTCTGTCTCTCTCTGTCTCCTTTCCATGTGAAAGGGTTGGGGTTGTGTGAAATCCCGAGGGGATTTCTCAAAAGCAGGATATAAATGAATTCTACCTTTAGATATTTAATGCAAGGAAACCTACTTAATTCCAAAGTTTCTTCCACAGAAATTATTTAAAGGGTTTTGGGGGAGAGAAAAAAAAAAAATATTCCTATAAAGACTCCTTCATCCTCCTATAAGATATATCCTATAAGATATTCCTATAGGATATTCCTTGCTCTTCAATACCGCTGTTTTTAGGTGCGTTTCAGAGCCAAATGTTGAGATTATGTATTAAATATGATAGATTTGATAGGTCTGAGCAGGAAATCTCGTGCCATTCTGCCGAGTTTTTGCACAGAGCAAGAAGTTTGTTTTCCATGGGCCCTGTTTCTCTCCCAGCTTCTGAAGCACTTCATTCCTTGTGCTCCTAATCCCTGTTTGGAAGTTTGATCCTTTTCCCAGCGTGAACATTTCTGTTGGCTCAGGTACATACCTTTTTCTTTTTTTTTTGTTTTTTTTTCTCCCCCCTCTTTAATTTTCTTTTTATCCCCAGCCCAATTTAAGCACTTGAGTGGCAGCGAGTGACATTTGCAGGGGACAGATTCTGCAGGGAAATGAGCAGGTGACAGGGGGAATAATGGCACTCTGGAGCCGTCTGACACGTGGGTGTTCCGACTGGAGGATCCTCTTTGTGCTGCAGGAAGTTCTCATGGAGCAGCTTTTGAGTTTGTATTGTATTCTCAGAGCACAGAATTCAATCTATACCCACCACACGTGTGCTGCAGGTGGGGCCCTTTACACCCTTTCCCAACACCAGCCTGACTTAGGATTCCATCTGAAGCGTCAAAAAAAAAAAAAAAGACCCTCAGAGATCCGTTCTGTCAAAATTATGTGCATATCAGATGCCTTTAATATTTATTACTTTGATTGTGATCCTCGGAAAACAATCACTGGGAGCTGGGGATGGGAGAGAAAAGCACTTTGCAATGTGCTTTTTAAGTGCCCCTTTGTAGGAACAAAGTCCAAAATTCTTACTGGAAAACTGCAAAACTTGGGTCTTCCACCGAGGCAAGGGGAGCAAATCCCTGATTTGGGTGATGCTGCTTATTAAAAAAAAACCACATTGCAAATATTTGGGTAATTTTGCCACCTGTCCTGGATAACATTAAGGCTGGGATGCCCTGGTGCCTTTACCTGCAGTCCTGTCAAAACCAGCTGGTTTTCAGCGTGTTTTAGAAAGGACTGAGAAGATTTCAAACTGAGCCACTACTGCTCCTCTACCTTTCACCTTGGAGCTCTGTTCCAGCTTTAACCAGTCTGTGATCTGGAAGGACGGGAATATTTTTCTTGTGTTTGTCCCTATTAAATCCTTCATACTGCATTTTTGCTTCTTTTAGTGCGATATTCTCCTTCCCCTCCTGGTGCTGCGCAGGTGCTTTAAGCATTTTCTTGCGCTGCTTGCAGAAATATAAAATCATCCCAGTTGGGAAAGGTTTGTGGAAGGCATTTGTGTGGCAAACACCTCCCAGAGAGGAGTAGCTCCCAGGGGATCCTGTTGTCCCCACAATTCCTCTCATAGTTCAGTAGGAATTTGCAGTTTTTCTCCTTGTGCTCTCTTTGGGAACTGAATTCTGTCATCTGGGAGCTCCCATTAACTCCTTCCTGCCAGGCCTTTGAACTGGGGAAGTTTGTGAGGGCAAAAGAGGAAACAGAAACTTTTATCTTTTATCGTGCCTGAATCCACAAAGGGTAAAAAAACAGGCTGAGAATGAAGGAATTGGGACATTTAACCTGTGGTTTCTGTGAAGGAGGAGAAAATTCAGACATTAAATCAGACCAGTTGGCATTTTGCAATTCCCTGTTCTTAAAACCGCGCAAAATTGTAAGGCTGTAATGTTAATACACTTATATTTTAATTATTAAGTAAATATAATTATGTCATTATTAAATTAAGATCACTTGCAGAGCAATTAGAAGTGTTTAACTTCTTGTGTTTTAGGAGCTTCTCTGGCTTGAAAGGGTGGGGTTTTTTTGGTTACAGAGCAAATTTTGTATAAAATCATGTCATGAAAGAGCAAATTTGGGTCTAACCCTGTTGTGTGGTGACTGTGACTAAAAGTCTTGCTCTCAGATCCTTTCCCTCTGCGTGCTCTGCTGAGGTGAAAATCCTTCAGCTTATATTTTCCTTAACTTTGAAAATCTGGGGTTTGCCTGTTTCCATTATTGATTCGCTGTCAAACCCCTTCACACCTTTAAATCCTTGTTTTTCGCTGTCGCCTCTTTTTCCTGTCTGATTATGCAGAGAAGACGTGGGATAAAAAAAATCCCATCCACTTTCCACTTTGTGGGAGTGTTCAGGAGGGATCGTGTTCTCCTGGAGTTTTGGTTTCATCCCCTTCCCCCAGAATCCCTTTGGTCATCCCAACACACCAAACCCCCGGGGCATTTATGATGCCCTGTGGTGAGGTGTTCCCAGCGTTAGGAGAAGTTTGTAATACCATGCTGCTTTTCCTTGGGATTTTCCCCGTGCTTGGGATTTTCCACTTTTAGTGTTGGAAAAGACCTGCAGGATCATCAGCCCAAGGCCACTACTGAGCCGTGTTGCCAGGTGACACATCCACCTGTTTTTTGAGCTCCGCCAGGCGTGGGGACTCCACCACTGCCCCGAACAGCCCGTTCCAATGCTTGCCAACCTTTTCCATAAAGGAATTTTGCTTTATATCCAACCTGCCCCTCCCCTGGCGCAGCCTGAGGCCGTTCCCTCTCCTCCTGTCCCTGTTCCCTGGGAGCAGAGCCCGACCCTCCCCGGCTCAGCCCCTCCTGCTGCTCCATCCCCTTCCCAGCTCCGGTCCCTTCCCTGCACACACTCCAGCCCCTCATGGATTGCTGATCATTTCCTTGGAAATCCCCCTCATGTGGCTGAAATTTTCCCCTCCAGGGTGGGGGCTCCTCAGTGCCAGCCTGGGCAGAAGCAGGGAATAGGTGTGGGCCCGGAGAACTTTCCTCATCCTGGCTTTGCGGGCCCGAACCGCCAGCTCAGGTTTTGCCCGTTTTTAGGGTTTTTTTTAACTGAAAAAAGTCTTGTATGACTAGAAATGCTTCCACATCTGGGCTGAGGAGCTACACTGGGACAAGTTTGCCCCTCACAAGACTCCACAAAGATCCTGAAGAGATGCAGAGTCAGATCCAAGGGCTGAGGAGCCGGAGAGGGAGCTCAGGGAGTGTCAGGGTGAGATGCGTGACCGTGTTTTGGAGAGGGTTTCACAACCCTGGGGGTGAGGAGGAGTCCCAGGACTGTGCCAAGGCCAGGTTCCCTGCCTGAGGAATTAGATCCAAGAGGAAAAGTGTGGTGAGGATGAAAGGAGCAGGAGTTGTTGGTGAGAGAGTCCAGGAAGCAGATTCCCAACATCACCCCGAGCGGGGGAAGAGGAGGCAGGTGGGAGGGTTTGTTCTTCATCCCAGTGCCAGGAAAAAACAGAAGGAATTGTGTCCGGAAATTAGGATTTCAGGGTGAAAGAGGAATCATCTCTGCCCGATCCTGCAGCAAAATGAGTTGTTTTTATGATCACCGTGGCCAGAACAGCACAGGGGGTGGGGATCAATAACGGCCCCAGGGAGCCCCCAGATCTGGGAATTCCTTAAGGCATTAGGAGGACTTGGATTTGGTTATATTATTATTATTATTATTATTATTATTATTATTATTATTATTATTATTATTATCTGCAGCATTTTTCTCGTCTCTGGGCTTTTTCACAAACTGAGAAAACCTCGCCAAAAAAAGTGAGTTTTATTGGCTTTTTAAGAGATGGACACTTGGTACATCTGTCATAAATAATATTTAATATTTCTGTTTGGCCTCAGTGCTGTTGTAGCAAGTGATGCACATTCCTAAAAAACAGAGGAATATTTGAGTATTTAGTACTTAGAAATGCCTGAAAACCAGACTTTTATAAAAACATGAACCCTTTTTTTTTTTTTAAGAACATGAAATCCAGGGAAGCTTTCTGAAAACTCCTTCAATCCTGGGCTGAATTTTTGTGGAATTTTGATCTCTATCTATGAATAAATAAGGTGGATAATTTTAAAATGATCAAACAGATTCGAATAGTAGGGCATTTTATATAAATATAGACTCAGGAGTGATCCAATGTGAATTATATTAAACTCAGTGGGAAACCATCTATTAACCTTAGCAAGAATAGAATCAGAATTCCAGAAATTCTGATTCGGGAGTCCTGTGCCGGGGGATTACAAAAACACCGTCCTGATACTTTTATCAATGAGTCGGACAATTAGTTGGGCTAATTAGTAGCAGCATCGCTTTGAAAGAACTACTTGGAGTTCTAAAAAAAAAAAAAAAAAAAGATTTTGAAATTGTCTCGGCCTTTCCAGTTCCAGGCAGGATAAATTCCCTTTCCAGTAGGAAACGGATGCAAAGAGTCCGTGCTGGGTGCTGGTCGCTGAGAGGAGAGTTTTAAAATAATCAAGATTTGCCAGTTATGGAGATTTGTGCCCAGGCTTTTTTTTAAATAAGAAGCAGCTCGGTTTGGAGAAGTTTATGTTATTTTCTTTGGGGGGAAGGGTGGAAGTTTAAACAAAGCCATGATGTCGTGTCTCGGAGCAGACACTTTATTACGTGATGATAAAGCAAAAATATAAACTGGCCTCCTGCTTGCTGCGTTAAATGTCCCCTCTTTGGGTTATTTTACCGAATGTCTTCATTTTTGGGGGGGGATATTTATATTTTGTACGATGAGGCTTTGTGTTGACCAGAGAAATCTAGAAGGGGCTGTATTAACATTGTCCCCTCCTCATTCCAAGGGCTCCTGTTCTGCTTTACCCCCCTTTTGGAATGGTGATGTGCCCCAGGTACAGACAACAGCACAGACAAGTTCCCTGCTGGGGTATCCTGGATATCCTGGTCCAGTAGAACATTCCCTGCCCACGGGAGTGGTTGGGACTGGATGGGCTTTAAGGTCTCTCCCAACCCGACCCATCCTGTGATAAAGAAATTCACTTATTTATTCCTTTGTAGTAGTAAATTTTTTTTTTTTTTTTACTGGCTCGTTCTTTTGTACCTCTGGCAACCCTTGTGTAGGGAAAGCGAGAGAAAACCCAAGACAGACCTCAAATTCTTTCTTCACCATCTCTGTCCTCAGCAGTTTCCCAGTTATCTTCATTTTAAATTAAAGGAGAAAAGTTGCTTCCACTCCCGTTGTGAGGCAGTGCCGGGGACAACAGGTGGGCAAAGGAGCCCAGGGAAACACAGCCAGGGGTTTGAAGTTCTTAAATTATTCATTAATTCTTAATTCTAAACCGAAATAAATCAGGGGGTGTGGCTGTTGAAGAGACCTTCAGTTTGCAGGCTTTAAATCTTGAGGATTAACTGCATATGAAGGATACAGAGAACACATTTCTTTCCTTTCTAAGACCAAAAAACAGAGTATATCCCTTCTTACACCCCCCCCCTGCTCAAAGCTACAGCCACTCAAACTGACAGCCTTGCCAACCCTGTGAAAAATGTAAAGTAAATTTATTAGTATGTTAGGCTTACAACTATAGATCACATAATTGAAAGAAATGCGGTAGTAATTAAGCTTTACATCTAGTTTTTGAATCGGTTTCTCTGCAAAACCCGCCTGTTCTCATTGTGTTTCCTTCAGCTTTCATGTTTTGCACTGGGTGCCTCGTGCTGTCAGGGGGGTCATAATTCACTTTTCGGGGTTGTGTTCATCTGGCCCGCTTGTTGTCCCACAAAAGCCCAGGGAAAGGCCATATGTTCCTGCAAAGGTGGCCTGGGAAGGCAGGAGAGCGGCTTCTCTTTTCTTGGGCCATCTGTTCTGCTTTAACTTCATTTTCTCCGGGCCTTGTGCCTAGCAAATATTGGGATAATGGATGGGAATTCTAATCAGATCGTTGTTTCAGGCAGCTTTGTGGTGACTCCACTCAGGTATTCCAAACAGATTTTTTGGTTGTTGTTGTTTTGCACATTCCTCCCGCTCTTTGGCAGTGGAACAATTAAACTGGGATCCCAAAGTTTGAGTTTACAGGCAGATAAATATAAATCCTGTGGAAACAGCGAACATCCCGGGGTCCTGCAATGAAAACGGGAGAATGGGAAAGCCTTTCCAGGACTCTGAAACGAAGGAGCAAACCCTGGATTGCTCCAAGTGGCCTGAGCCAAACTCACTGCTGCTCTTTCCCCCTTGGAGCTCCTCGTTCCTACCCACTTACCACTCCTTCCCAGCCCAGCCCAGGCATTCCTGCAGCCCCAGGGATTAGGGAACTGAGCTGGGTTAAGACTAATCCAGCAGAAAGACCCAAATCGGCTCCCTTGGCTGATCCACTTGGTGGAGCAGAGGGAGCAGCCCTGGAGCAGAGGCTGAGTTGTGCCCTCTGACGTGAGGAAGGGGCTCCACCTTGGGGATTTCCCCCTCACATTCCAGGGAAATGAAGGAGTAAGGAAAAAAAACGTGGTGTCCCCACAGTGTTCAAGCTCTGAGGAGCCAACAGAGCCCTGGTTTAAGCCAGGCCTGGATTGGTTGAGGTTCCAGCTCTGCTTTGGGGAAACCTGAAAATCCTGGGAGCCCTGGAGTTAGTCCAGGCTTAATCATGCACTGATATTTCCCCCCTCCACCACTCTTAATGCTGGTTCTAAGAATAAAATTAATAAAATTAAACACCAGGCTCTGCTTAGGCCGAGTTCAGGATCCTCCATCACGGGTTGAAGTCACAGAATTCCTTGTAGCTGTGTTTGTTTTGGGGAGAAAAATCTACCAGGCATTTGGGGAAAAGGAAGTCTACAAGTCTATAATCTCCTTTCAGTGGGATTTTTATGTTAATTTTATGATTTTTTAATGTTAATTTCTATATAAATGTGTATCTGAGTGTACACAAAGAGAGGAAGTGCATAAATAAACCAGATATAAATAAGCAAAACAGGGCATGTTTTCTGAAGTTTTCTGGTGGATCTTCTCAGGAATATCTCGTTTAAAAGCCCTGTTATCCCTTCTCCAGCTGCCTGGCCTCTGCCTCTGCAGCCCTAAATCCTGTGCAAATGTAAAGCAGAGGAGGATAAGGCCAGGCCTGGCCCCTGCCTTGGACTGTAGGGAATTCTCCTGATCCCGTGTTCCTGGTCAGTGAAAAAAAAAAGGGATCCTTCCAGAGGGAACTTGAGGAAGGTTTGCCTTTCTGCAGGCCTTTCAGTGCAAGGTGTGTTTCCTTGCAGGACGAAGAGGCTTCATCACAACGAAACGGGCCAAGAAACGCAAACACTTGAAGAAACAGCACTTCTCCAACCCTTCCCCAAAGCCCAGAGACCCACCAGATCCTGGTGCATTCCATCCACCAGTCTTCCTGCTTGGAGGTAGGTGAGTGAGTGAGTGACTTCTCTCCTTGCCTCTCCTCCCGGTAGATTCCCCATCCCTGGCAGTGTCCAAGGAAGGCCAGGCTGGAGCAACCTGTGCCGGTGGAAGGTGTCCCTGCCCGTGGCAGGGGGTGGCACTGGATGGTTTGTCAGGTCCCTTCCCATCCACACCATCCTGGCCTTTCTCTTCTTGCCCCATATTTAGATAATAAACACAGCAATGTCTAATTTTATCACGATTTCTTTTATTTTTCTTTGATGTGTCAGGTGTGCGTGGTGGGCCTGTTCATCCCCTGGTACTGCAGTGCCACCACTAGAAATTAAATATATTTATTTTTGGTGCTATGGAAGGCAACGCAAGTGACTAAACAGGATTTTGTGTGACTCTGACACTTTAAACCAAACAATTACTGAAAAGAAAAATCAGACTTAGCTGCTCCTAAACTGGTCTCCAAGCCTTTGCTGGCATTTCCCAGCTGTGGTTTGGAATGAACTGCTTGGGAGGTTGAGTTTTTCGTTCATGCCACGGGGTGAAGGGGGAAAATAACCTGAGAAATGGCCAATAATCAAGTTGATTGGTTCAGAAGAAATGCATTTCAAACCCACCTGAAGGGAAGGGACAACTTGGCTGGTTGCCATCCCCTCTTCACACTCCTCTGGGACAGCTCACACTTGAAAAGTTGAGTTTGTTTCTCTTACAGTTTTGTTTTATTTGTTTTTTATTTCTCCCCCCCCACCCCTTTTTTTTTTTGTTCCTTTGGTCTCTTTCGTTTTAGATGCCCCCAATAATACCATGGTTGTAAGAATATTGTATCTGCAGAGATTAGAGGGGCCCAGGATTTTTTTAATCTGTTGGCAACAGACTCGTTATGTAAATAGAAAGCTCACACAAAGGGAGGGAGCCACGCAGCAAAAGGCACTGGGGGAAAAAAACTGCTGTTTCTTCCCCAAAAATACAGTCACCTGTGAGATTCCTGCAGCTTTGGAGGACTCTGGGAAGTTTGGTGTTATGGATAGGTGTTCAGTCAAAAAATAAAGATATTATAGTCACTAAGTCCATTTTTATGTCAGTACAGACAATTTGTATCATTATTTTATTGACGTTGTTTAATTTTGATAAGAGATCAGGTTATTTATTGAGATTAATTTCTATAATGCTTTTCTCTGGATTTCTTGAGGCCTTTAACAGAAGCTTCTTTCCCTGCTGCTGCTCCAGTCCACTGCACTGTCCATGTGACCCAGATTTTATTTTTTTTTTTAAGCCCTGCTCTGACTTAGGTTTTATTCTTGGGCTGTTTCATCCATCTATTGGAATTGTTTCCAGTAAATTAGTTTTGCAGTGTTTGCTGTGATCAGCATTACATGCTCCAGGGGAACCCTTCATAAAAATGGCTCTTATCAATACCTTTCAGCGGGTTGGAACATTAATAATTTGATGTGAAGATTGTTTTATCCCCAGTGAAACCGTGATCTAAAATATCTCTTTATGCAAATTCGTTAATGGGGGATTATCCCACCTTTTTGTTTGATTGGTTGCTGTAAAGATAAGCTACATTGTGAAGCCATGGATCCTTATTTATCTATAATTACATGAATGGTCGTGTTTTGAAATGATTCAATAATATCTATGTGTTATGGTGGCCACGTGTTGAAATATATAATCATCTAACAATTCCATGATATGGTGATGGTCATGTTCTGAAAGAATTCAATAATATCTGTATCATATATCATAATGGTCATGTTTTGAAATATATTAATGTGTAATTGTGGTCACGTTGTGAATAATTCAATAACATCTGTGTATTATATGATAATATCTCTGGACTGGCTGTACATGGTATTCAGTGTGAAGAGCAGGTAAACCCAGTGACCTGTGTGCTCACACCCTGTTTGTTTGGCTTCTCTGAAATTTTTTTTGTTCAGTGGGGTTTCCCGTGACGGGAGAAGGTTTTAAGAACAACCAAGAGCTTTGTTGTGGTGACAAACGGCTTTCAAAGAGGCTCCAAACACGAAAATCAGAACAAATTCATTCCACTGTCTGTAGGATTCGAAGCTCAGTGATGCTGCAGCTGTTATAATTGAAGGGTTATTTGGTAAAAGGTGGGAAATCCCCAATAGTTCTGAATTTGGTGCCCAACTGTGCCTGTTGACTCTCAGATCCGAGGTTTTAACCCACCAGTTCTTTGGATGTGCCTCTTTAACCTGATGAGCCCCAAATCCCTTTCACCCCTAAAAGCATCTAATTAATTGATTGAAAGGACTGTTGGCTCCTCTTGGTGTCAGAGACATTCAAAAACATCAATCATAGCCCTTTCCAACCCAGCCTTTTCGTCCTTAGTGGGAGGGTTTTGGTGTGGATTAGCACAGCTCGAGGTGGCTGAAGACATGACCTTTTTGTTCGCCTACTAAGGATCCATACACTCATTTTTATAGGAATTTCCTCACTCTTCTGGCCAGGGAAACACCATCCAGTAACAAAAGGCATCTTTGTTTTTGATCCTTTCCAGTCAGAGCCATCAAATATTCTTCCATTTTACATCAAGTAACCGCTGAAGTGATTGCACTGGGACTTACAAAAGCGACCAAGAGAAGGGAAATAAAGACTTTTTAATTCACCCGCTGTGATTGTGTCCCCAGATGTCACGTGGGGAGCAGGAGTTCCTCAGATGAGGGGTGGGGGAAGCCCAGGAGCCACCTCGATGGACATAGAGCACAACAGGACACTGTCTAAAGCCAAGCTCAAAGTGCACCGGGAGTTTTAAGGGAGCCTAGAAATCCCCGAGCAAGACCATGAGGAGCAATGTAGGTGAGTACTCCCAAAAGAAATCCCTGGGGTTTGTTGGGCTGGGAAACTCCTGCACGTGGATTTTGGGGGTTTTCCGCCGTGAGAACAAAGATGATATTTGGGCCGATATTAACAAAAATTAAAGGGGAGGACAGGCACCTTCAGCATCTGATGGTGTTGAAGGAGAGGAGGGGAACAATTTAGCAGTTTGTAGAGGGTGGGCAGTGCATCCATTTGTGGAGTTTCGATAAGAGAACAAAATAAAAAAGCTTTTAAAAGGATTTCAATGACTGTACGGGACCAGCAGTTGAAAGGTGAGAAAATCCCAATGTTGTGCCACGTGGAGCATTAACCATATTATTCGGGAGCCATCTATTTTGACACGATTAAACAACAAGAGCTCCAGTTATCCACGCTGGAAAATACTCAGCTCCACTCCTGCCCTGGGTTATATGTTGTAGCAGCAAAGTGGAGCTGCCTCACCCCTGGGATGCAGGCAGAATTCCGCAATATCCAACGAAATGCTCTTATCCCGATGGATTTTTCATCGTCAAAAATCCCGAGGTTACGTCGTGTCAACAACCAGCAGATGGGGGAGAAAGGAGGTGCCGGGAAGCTCAAAAGAACACGGGAAGCAGAGCTATAAATACCAGGCTAATTCCATAGCTTGGAGATTTCTCCAAAGCTTTTGTAAATCCCTCCAGAAAAGGCGGGAGAGATCCCTAATCTGAGGTGCCCCAGTTGAAGGAACGTGTGTGTGGGGGGTTGATTTTAAAGGGAATTGTGGCCACCTCCAGGAGGCTGTTTGGGGCACCTGGGTGAGTCAGGGCTGGGTTTGCTGCCTCCAAACAAGGGTTTAAAACACCTTGGTCCATTTTCACTCTCTCCTCATCCATTTCTTCTCCAGGGACAGTCCGTAATTTTACCTACCTGATCACCTTGGAGCCAATAAATACCATATTCCCACAGAATACTGTATATTCACAGCTCATTTTGAATTTTTTGTTTTGTTTTTAAAAAAGCTGTCCCTTCCAGCCAACACAGATCAGTCTTCTTTGGGGGGGAGTTGATGAAAATAGGGAAGATATTTTAATTTTTTTTTTTTTTTTTAACTTTGCATTTAGAAATTTTACCAGTGGAACTTGAAATTGAGGCTGCATTTAGAAACATTTACTAAATATTTTTAACACTTCATATGCTAAACTCCTGAAAGCCAGTTTCAGATTCGATGGCGCTCCAAGGAGGGTTTTATTTTCATGTTTTAATTGAATTTGGTGATTCTGTGATGTTGAGAGGTGCTAAGACCTGGATTATGAGATAAAGGAATTGTTAAGTGTGTAAGCAAAGGGACTCTTTATAATTATTTATTTATTTATTATCAAAATAATATTTTTTGATGCTTATTATCCAAATACTGTTTCGACTCTTTATTATCAAAATAATATTGGAAAATGTTCTTCTATTATTAAAAATATTGAAAATAAACCAATTTTATTAAAACTGGTGTTAGCCAGAAGAAACCAAAGGAGTAAAATCAGTCAGATGAGTAAAAACGAGTGTACTGCAATAAAAATGAACCAAAGGACCTTTTTTTTTTTTTTAATCTGAAATAAAATGCTTTGAAAAAAGCTCTGATCCGAATTGGAGGGAAATCCAAGGTTGAGCAGCATTTGGAAGTTTGCCACAGGTTTCCTTGAATTCAGGTGAGGTGTGACATAAAAAAAACAAATACCTGCAGAACAACATGAGGGCTGTTTTACCTGTCTGTGTGTGTGTGGAATTCTGATTTCCCAGATTTTCCTGCCAGCAGTTTAGGGCATTTATGGCACTGATCGGTGGCTTTATGTTTTTTTATTCTGTGACAGGGTCTGTCTGTGTTACTGGTTTAATTTCTTTTGCTCAAGAGTTAAATACATCGTGATAAAGAGGTGACCAAGTGGTTCTTTGCCCACATTTTTCCCCAATAACTCACTTTTTTTTCGGAGCAGGCACCAGAGAATTCTCACTGTCTGTGTAAGACCTGAACTCCCAGAGCCATTTTTGGGGCCTGCTCGGAGAATTAAAGGACTGGCGGAGCTGCAATCAGGAGCTGGCACAGTCAAGCCCTTAGATTGGGATGAAAAAGTGCATTTTCCAGGTTCTTATCTCTTCTGGAGCTTTATTCTTGAACCCTTGGATGTGCTGAACCCTTGAAGGCCCACATGGTTTTAATTTCTGGGTGCCTGTGGGCCTTACTCTCATTTTTCTCTTCCCTGCTTTGATGAGCTGGTGGAATTCTCTTGTGCTTGTCGAGCTTGGGTATGATTCACCCTTTTGTTTCCTTCCTTCTGAAGAGAATCAAGCCCTTTTTTTTTTTTTTTTTTGTCTAATTTAGTGCATTTTCAGCCTATTTCACAACCACTAAACCTGGCGTTTCCAGAGGATTCAGGTGAGCTGAGCCAGGAGCTGAGAGTCCTCACCTTGCCCCTCTTCAAACAATAAATATGTCGTGTTTGGGTGGCAAAACAATTCCAAGGAATGTTTACCCGGGAATAGAGAGTGAAATATTCCATCATAAAAT